TTAAAATATACAACGAATTGTATACAATCTATATAATATGGAGTTCAAACTGTAACATATACAAAACTGATAAAAGTCAATGAAATATTATTTAATTATACACATTTGTTGACTTAAAATATACAACGACTTGTATACAATCTATATCATATATAGTTCAAACCATAACATATATAAGGTGATATAAGTAAACGAAAATTATTCTTTTTTTTTTATTTTCCACCCGGTGTCCAAAATCCATATTGGAACTCTGACTAAATCCGGATCGCGCTCTGCAGGGCCCATTCGGGGGTGGCGCTCCCAACATTATTTTCTCCATACTCAGCGTTCGAACCCGAGACCTCTGGTTAAGGGTGAAGCCCTCCCACCAGTGCACCACAACCCATGTTGGTAACGAAAATTATTCAATACACACATTTATTGACTTAAAATATACAACGAATTGTATATAATCTATAGTATATGGAGTAACATACAAACTGATATAAGTCAATAAAGAATTCTTCAAGGGAAAAGGCTCAAAAAACTCGGGTATAGGTTATTAAGTGGATTTGGGCTGTGGGTTTGAAATTTAATGAATTAATTTATTTTAAAATCAACCAATAGTATTGTGCCACGTAATAAGTGAATTTTGTAATAATATTTTCAGATAGAATCGTTAAAAATAAGGGAAATTTAAAGCAAAAAATTGACGTCATGAGCATTTTTGACCTGAAAGTTTAACGAACGATATTATTATATCAAAAGCCATAATTCAAGAATATTTTAGGCTCTTTTCCGTTTCAAGTATTATTATTTTTGTTGTTCATGATATTGTCAAGGGACCTGGTGAACAATATATTTATTACTTCCTCCGTTTCACAAAGAATGGTCTAATTTGACTTGACACGGAGTTTAAGAAAATAAAGAAGACTTTTGAATCTTGTGGTACTAAATTAAAGTTATGTCAAATGTACAAAATTGTCCTTTAATCTTGTGGCCCTAAACATGTCACGTGAAAAGCTGAAATTAAAATGTTACCAAAAAAAAAAAAAAGTCATTTTTTTTAAACACACTAAAAAGGAAAGAGATCATTCTTTTTAAAACGGAGGAAATATGTGAATAGTATGCCTTAAATAGTATGATTGTAACAGAGATTTTTTATTCTCCTTTCATTGCTGAGATTTCACAGTACTGAAAAGATGTTTCTTGTGTTGTATAATGTGTGAACGAAAAATGATGGGTTTATCCTAAAAAGACATCAAGAGAACGGATGCGATAATATGAATAGTCTCTTTTCACATTCAATGGGTCGTGAATTGTGACTTTTTTGATAGGTTGTAATTTTTTTAATAGATTGTGACTTTTTTTGATAGAGCATAATATCACCTTTTCATATTACCATCCTTTGTTTTCTATATATAAAAGAGTTTTAAGTCGAGTCTTTGTGTAATTTTATTGTTAAATATTGAGTTCATTGAAGTTATTGAAGTTTAAGATACTGCTACTTCTTTAATAGATATATATATTTTATCCTGGAAGAAATAATCAACAACCTTAGATACAGTGAGAAGATTGAATTTCTTAACCACACAATAAGTTATGTGGTCTCGAATATTTGTTTATATACATATAAGTTTTCTATTTTCTAATTTGTTCTTATTTTTGTGTTGAATACGGTACCCATCATATAATATGTCGGTAAGTAATAATTTTCCTAGACAATGTGTTTGATAACATATCAAATATTTAAAGTTGGGATAAGACACAAGTACCCCCTAGATTATTATCGAAATTTCAGAGATACACCTTAACTAAACTAAGGTCTTATTACTCCCCTTAATTCATCTTTTTTTGTATTTTTTGTACACCTTTTGGCTTAAGTGGCACGCTCCGTGACTCCACACAATTGAGGCGCGTGGGAGGTATTTGAGTGCCATGTAAGCCAAAAAGGTGTATAAAATTACAAAAAGATAAGTTTAGACGGTAATAGGACCTTAGTCTAGGGGTATACTTGTATTATGCTAAACTTTAATTTAGAGAAATTATGTAAGTTCAGACACAATTTTTTTGTATTTTCGATCGCGTATGTTGGAAGTTGCTTGTAAAATGATTGTAAGAGTGAAACAGTCTCACCAGTGCACCACTGTCACGCCCCGAGCCTACACCCTGGGCGGGACCGGCACTCGGAAACCATTGCTGGCCCCAAGCGAACCCTTGGCCTGGCTTTCTTAACTCAGCGGAAACCTACTCAACAGAATAACTCAATGCTATGCAGAGGCATAAACAACTTAAATGATACATATCTGGCCAAAAAGGCAACTCGAGTCTCAAAATAGAATACTTACATATATACATAGATAAGAGACTCAAAACTAACGGACTGACTGTCTATGAAGCCTCTAAAATACTTAGATGGATGTTGGGACAGACCCCACAACACCCTAATAAACAAAACTAAGAGAACAAAATAACTGAGCCCTTTGGAAGCAAGGAGGCTCACCACTGACTCTAGAGTGCTCAACTGGATCAACGGCGTGCAGGATGCTGATCCTGGGTACCTGCGTCTGCATCATAAAACGATGCAGGCCAACTGGCATCAGTACATGGAATGTACGAGTATGCGAGCTGGACCGCTAAAAACAACTTAAGCTTGAAAAGGGAACAAGAGATCACTTACCTTGACTCTGAACGACTCATATACATAACTGGACTCAAAGTAAAGCAATAAGACACGAGCCACACATATAAAGCTTGTAAAAGAATGTAAACAACTTAGATCGTTAAGGATAAAATGACAACAAACTCCACTTTTCTTTTATAAACATAAAACAGCTTTTGTGGGAGGTTCTTTAACCGACAACCACCACTATGAGCCTTAGTGATGATACAACGTTTTACCTCACGTTGCCAAAGGACCATCCTATACCTTGCCATCGATATAGGACCTTACTTTTGCTTAGTGGATCCACTAGCCTAATCTTGCGTGATCATCTAAAAAGAATGATACGACAAGTCCCATGTTGGCGCATGGTTCTTAGGGAGAGTTGAGTTAATATGAACTCGTGTCCCCCAATTCGGTGCTCAATACTACTCCCAAAATTACTTTGGCTCATGCTTTTAAAATAACTTCTTTCTTTGATTGAGATAATTACTCAAAACTTTAGCCCAAAGGCTCCTTTGGGGAAAGAAAACATGATTCCCTTTTTATTCAAATATAATAGCATTTACGACCTCCTTTGGGAATACTTAGTTCCCTAATAACTTTTTTTTTTTTTTGAAGAGAATTCAACTTTAAACTCATGACTTAGCTTGAAACTAAGACTCTTACTCGACTTGAAACTTCACTTGACTTGGAACTAGCTTTCCTTGAATTGGAATTATGAATTCAAGGTGTTCGATCACATGTTATGGAAGGATTCTTGAACGCTTAGACGCACTTTGGAACGTCGAAAACAACTATAAAACATAGGTAAATTACTTTGAAACATGTATGAGAAAGTGAGAAAAGAAGAGGGGAAACTTGGCTGAGACTTCAGATTTCTGGTGACACAGATGGGACTTACGGTCGCCATCGACGGACCGTAGATGGACCTACGGTCCGTACTGCAGGTCCGTAGATTGCGTCAGAGATTTTCCCCAGAATTTCATTTAAGAAAAAGACTAAGTGTTGGCCTACGGTCATGACTTACGGTCCGTAGGTCAGGTCACGGACCGTCGGTCGCGACCGTAGATCGACGCCCCATAACCCCAACTTCTGTCCCAATCGACGGTTGACCAGTACTGACCGTTGATCTATCTACGGTCCGTAGGTCAATCCCGTAGATGGGGATCGACAGCCCAGAAACTTCTGCAAATCGATGGTGGATCAACCTCTAAAGGGTCATAGCTCTTAGAATCATAATCCCCTCAACATACAATAGGTTTCAACTTAAATATACGACCCAATCATGTCTCACAACGTACAATAAATTCAACAACACCACCAACAACCTCAACAACAACTAACAACTAACAACTTCAACACTTCAATAACAAACTCCCAATCTTTTCTCAAAGCAAGGAATAAACTTGGGGTGTGTGGGGGAAAGGATCAACCCACACGGAAAAACTCACATACCTTGATAGGGATCACCCCCGACGAATTTCCACAATGGTCTTGACAAATCTCCTCTTTCTTCTCTTCTTCTTCTTCTCCTTCTTCTCTTCTTCAATCACAAGAACCCTAACTCTTTCTCTTACCAAAAATGGGACAAAAATGATCCAAAGATCATCCTAATACAACAATATGAGCTCAAAAGAATTGGCTAGGGAAAAGACTAAAATGCCCTTAATGATTCCCGGACGGATCTCCTTGACAACTGCCCAACTTTCGAAGGTCATAACTCCCTCATACGAACTCGGAATCGAGCAAACTCGGCGGCGTTGGAAAGGTCGTTCCACGAACTTTGCAACCATAACTGGAATTCCACCTAAATCATCCTGAGATAGAATTTATGGCTGTTCAAAGTTGGCCAAAATTTCACATTTTCCATACTTAGCCAAAATTTCCAAAACTTTAAATTCTTTCCAAAAAATGAAAATTTCCAATTCTAAGCCTCTTCAATTATTTCATATTGCCGGATGTTACAACCACAACTATGTTGGTAGTACTATTGTTCATTAGTGTAGCATGTGATGAGAACCTAAGATACACACTACTAAATAGTTACTATTTCCATTGAAAAATGTTCAGTGGATTTCCAATGGTATTTTTTGATTGAATCGGTGAGAAAAAATTATAATATTATTTTCGTACAAAAAAAATTAGGAAGTTTCCTACTATTTTAGGAGAACCTATTTTTCACAATGCATTTTTTCAATGAGTTGATTTGGTGGAGAATGGATGGAAAAATCATGCTCTATAACACAGATTTTCCACTATTGTTGTCGAAAAATCTTTATTTCTAGTAGTGACACATGGTAGGATTGGTTCAGAATTAATACCTAGATACAAAGTAATGAAAATACACAATCCAAAATGTTTAACTATTCCATGTAAATAAATTTTCAAATACTGTTTTTGTACCAATAAACACCTTTTTCTTGAGATTCTTTATCTTTCTCAACATAGATGCACTCCTTGAAGTCCCTCCACATTGCCTTATAAATTGGGGTACCATCATATTGGTAGTATTCTCCTAATACTGGCTTGATAGCTTTTGTTGCCTCTATTGCATGGTAATGTGGAATCGATGAGAATAGATGATGCATAACATGAGTATCCGCAATGTTGTGGAAGAAGTAATTTAACACACCATAGTCTCTATCTACCGTAGCTAGAGCTCCTCGTAGCCAATTCCACTCGTGTGAATCGTAATGTGGCAATGAAGAGTGTGTATGGTGCAAAAATGTGATCAACACTATGAATCCGTTCACAATTAGGAGGGGTACCCCATAGATGCATACAAGCCAAGTTAGCCCTTGTGTGCATGCAACGCGATACAATACATAACTAGTTGCAATTACACCTACATCAGAAATGTAAATTTGTAGCCTTTCACGATCATTATATATAGGGCTATATGGATTATAGTGGCTTGCAAATCGATCATAAGGTCTTCCTGCCACATTTATGGCATAGTATAAAGGTAAGCCAACGGTAAGGGTAAATACAAGTATGAATAATCTTCCTATTGGATTATTAGCGTATGCTTTGGTGAACCATTTTAGTTGGGATTTGGTTTTGGGCACATAGTTTTCATCGTTCTCAAGGGAAGCAGTATTGGAGTGGTGACGACGATGACTATATTTCCATGAAAAGTATGGTGTTAAAAGTGCTGAGTGGAGGATAAAACCAACGGTGTCATTTATCCACGGGTAATGACTAAACGCCTGGTGACCACATTCATGGGCATTGACCCATATACCTGTGGAAACACAACCTTGAACGATCCAATAAGCGAACCATGCTAGGTAAGAGTATGGAGATGGAAGGACATGGAGGTAAGTGGCGGCGATGTAATAGAAGATGTAGATTAATATGAGATCATGCACAAGATAGTAGCATGAGCGAATAAGAGATCGCTCAAAGCAATGAGGAGGGATGGCTTTCTTGATGTCACTAAGTGTAAAAGGGGGCTTTGAAATTGGCGCTCTTGGGAGAGGATTTTTCTTTTGGTTGGTTTTAGTTGTTGGAGCAGACATATTACCACCACCTCCCATTTTTGCTATAAAAGAAGAAGAAGAGGAGGAAATACCTCAAAGAAGTGGTTGGAGATTTCTCTCTCCCATTTCCTCTCTCTTTATAGAAGTAGAGAACAAGAGGCTAATGGTTTGATTAACTCTATTCTTAAAATTTCATTTGTTTGACTATAGGTAATAGTAGAAAGTTTTACTCCCTCAATTTTAACTTTTTTGTCTGTAGTTTAAATTGATACGAATTTAAAAAAGAGTAAAGAATCATTCTTTTTAAAAAGGCTAGCTAGTAACACAAACAAATTAGAACGAAAGGAGTATTATTTTAATTAAGTTCATATCCATCAAGCAAGCGTCATGTTCGATCATAATTTGATTTGGGCTATCCCCAGCCGATCACCTGAGGTTTGCAATAGGCAGAGTGTTGGTGTGACCCACCAATCCCCCTCTCAACACCTAGCGATAATAGTAAGGACACAACTTTTTCTAACCAAACTCATTAAGCAAGTGTCATGTATGACCATGATTCTGACTAGAGTCATCCCGAACCTATCACTTGAGGCGCTCCATTGGCAGAATATTGACGTTACCCAATAATCATCCTCCCAACACTCTAGCTTGCCATGAAATTTGAAATTTTAAGGAAACTACAACATATGACAATAGTCTAATCACACTAGATCTCAGTTAGATAAAACAAAGACCAGAGAAATTAAATTTAAGTCAAGAAAGGCAACTACAAATGAAGAATGAGAATGTTATTATTTTCTCAAGTCCTTGCACAAGTGTTGACGTTGAAATTTCAAATTTAAGATACACCACACAAATATTCTCGTACACTCAAGTTCTTGCTTTCACTTAGATATTTTGGATCCGTTACAAAATCATGATTTAAAATCAAATTAATTTAAAGTTAAAGTCTTATCAAGTTTCATATATATCCAGTTGTACGAATCACCAGTACGCCCCGTGGTTGGAAGCACGAGCGCCTAGTTGGTCTCGTTGTTGTGATGTTCAGAAGTTGGTTAGTTCACTACTTTGGGGGCAAAAATTAGAATAATGGGGTCTTTTTTCACAAAATATAAACTCATTAGTCAATTTTTACATTTGATTTTTTTTCATATTTGGAATGTTATAAACTATAGTACCATTCCACCTAAAACATTTTGGGTGCAGGTTTTCTTAAAGTTCTAATCCCTTTTCTATAACGAGGTTTCCAACAATCTATAGCTTTAAGAATAGTTTGTGAAAAAGTAAAAAGATAATCTTCATAAATTATTCTTTAACTAATGTCATTAACCAACTTTTACTCTCTTAAAAGGTGTGTGTTACCCCAAAAATTTATTTATTTTGAATCGGAGGAAGTACATGCATGGTAAAAAGTAAAAACGATAATAGTCAAGCAAGAGACTAATCACACTGAATTAAGCTGCATTAATCACGTTGCAATTTCCACACTATAATAAGCAATGTTTTAAAAGGTAGGACCATGAGGCGAGAAGTTTTATGTAATATGGGGCGAGACGTAAGCCCCGAGACATGAGGTGTAAGTCTCATGGATCTACGGTGCATAGTTTCATGTATATTCAGTTTTATAATTACTAAGAAAATAAGTAAAAGTAAAACTTTCAATGGTTTACAAATAAATTTTAATAAATAGCGTATAATATATAGAAATTTTTTTATGATTTTTATTTGAGATAAGTATTTAGTAATAATCAATAATGAAGAAAAAACTATTATAATTATTTTTTTTGAGAAATATCATTACACCAATAATAAAAAATATATGATTTAAAGCAAAAAAAGGTTCAAAAATAATAATAAAAGAATTAACGTCCGGACATACGTTTTTATGCCCAGGACTTACGTTTTTACGCTCGGGGTTTATGCCCTAAATTCTAGGACTTATGCCCTGTGGATCTACGTCTTCAATTTGCGCCCCGAAACATTTTTAGTAAGCCTCGCCCCGAGACTCACCCCAAAATGTTTTTGAAAACACTCATAATTACTATATTATAGAAGAGTCTAGGAATGACTACCAATGTTCCAATAAGATCACTACTAATGTCCAATATATTTATAAAATATATAAGTGGGTCCCACCACCTTCCACTTAAATACTACATATTATATATTATTAATTACTATACTATAAATCACTACTAATATCCAATATATTTATCAAACTATATAAGTGGGCCCCACCACCTTCCACTTAAATACTACATACTATATATTAATTACTATACTATAAATGACTTAAATACTCCATATTATCTATTACAATAATTAACAATTATTTGACACTTTAAATTCTATCAATGCCATATAAATTAGGATAAAAACCTAACATATAATATTTAAATATATTTAAAAATAATATAAGTAATACTATACATTACAATAATTAACAGCTTAATTATTTAAAACTTATATAAAAAATTTAATTGACTCTCTAAATTTTGTTGGTACCACATAAAATGGATTATATAATAAACATATATTGTTTGAAATTGACGAAAAAGAAACAATAAATTACAATAATTAATAAAAAAAATAGTCGACGAAATTGACAAAAAAAAAATTATAAATTACAATAATTAACAAAATAAATCTCTTGACTCCAACAAATCTATCAATTAATGCCACATAAATTGGGACATGGCAAATAACATATATTATTAAAAAGTTAGGTTCAAAATGTACTATAAAATACAATAATTAACAACTTAATATATTAAAGAGACATATAAAAAATGGTTAATATTTGAAATTCTGCATCTGCCACATAAATTAGAACAAATAGACTAATAACTATTATTTTCAAAATTATGTTTAAAAAAAGTACTACAAATCACAATAGCTAACAATTTAAAATATTTTTAAAATCATATAAAAATTTCAATAACTTCTCAAATTCCATAATATGACATAAATTAAAAAAAAAGTGTTATAAATCATAATAAATAGTACAATATTTAAACTACTTTAAAAGCATTATAAATTGTAATAAATAATACAACAATTTAAATTACTTAAAATTTAACGACTTAATTTTATTTTTTAAAATGTATTAAAATTTTGGTTAATTGTCAAAACTTTACATGTGCCACATAAATTGGGACATGGACAGTCACACATATTTTTTTTAAAAAATTACATTAAAAGTATTCTATCAATTAACAACATCTATTGTTTGTAATTGACGAAAAAGAAACTGTAAATTACAATAATTAACAAAATACTCCATATTATCTATTACAATAATTAACAATTATTTGACACTTTAAATTCTATCAATGCCATATAAATTAGGATAAAAAACCTAACATATAATATTTAAATATATTTAAAAATAATATAAGTAATACTATACATTACAATAATTAACAGCTTAATTATTTAAAACTTATATAAAAAATTTAATTGACTCTCTGAATTTTATTGGTACCACATAAAATGGATTATATGATAAATATATATTGTTTGAAATTGACGAAAAAGAAACAATAAATTACAATAATTAATAAAAAAAAATAGTCGACGAAATTGACAAAAAAATATATTATAAATTACAATAATTAACAAAATAAATCTCTTGACTCCAACAAATCTATCAATTAATGCCACATAAATTGGGACATGGCAAATAACATATATTATTAAAAAGTTAGGTTCAAAATGTACTATAAAATACAATAATTAACAACTTAATATATTAAAGAGACATATAAAAAATGGTTAATATTTGAAATTCTACATCTGCCACATAAATTAGAACAAATAGACTAATAACTATTATTTTCAAAATTATGTTTAAAAAAAGTACTACAAATCACAATAGCTAACAATTTAAAATATTTTTAAAATCATATAAAAATTTCAATAACTTCTCAAATTCCATAATATGACATAAATTTAAAAAAAACGGTTATAAATCATAATAAATAGTACAATATTTCAACTACTTTAAAAGTATTATAAATTGTAAAAAATAATACAACAATTTAAATTACTTAAAATTTAACGACTTAAAAATATTGTTTTAATGTATTAAAATTTTGGTTAATTGTCAAAACTTTACATGTGCCACATAAATTGGGACATGGAGAGTCACACATATTTTTTTTAAAAAATTACATTAAAAGTATTCTATCAATTAACAACATATATTGTTTGAAATTAACGGGAAAAAAAAACTATAAATTACAATAATTAACAAAATAAATCTCTCGACTCCAACAAATCTATCAATTAATGCCACATAAATTGGGACATGGAAAATAACATATATTATTAAAAAATTAGGTTCAAAATGTACTATAAAATACAATAATTAACAACTTAATATATTAAAGAGACATATAAAAAATGGTTAATATTTGAAATTCTGCGTGTGCCACATAAATTAGAACAAAGAGAGTAATAAATATTATTTTCAAAATTATGTTAAAAAAAAAGTACTACAAATCACAATAGCTAAAAATTTAAAATATTTTTCAAATCATATAAAAATTTCAATAACTTCTCAAATTCCATAATATGACATAAATTAAAATAAAAAAATAATATATATTGGGCCCCGTGCTGGCACGGGGTCCTATATCTAGTAAGTATATAAAACTTCAATGAATCCTCAATGCAAATAAAAAAATAAAAATAAATAAAAATAAAAAATAAAAAATAAAAAATAATAATAATAATAAAAAATCCTCAATGCAAAAAGCGAAAGCTCTCCCAACTCAAGAAAGGAATGAGATTAATTTTTTATCTAAACCACCCTTTGACTATTTGTGAGACTATAAATCCTTTCATTAAGAGTAAATTAATAGCTTAAAGTTAAATTATTTTCAATTATAGAAGGTCACATATGGAATGGACTTACAAAAATAAAAGAGTGTCACGTGAATTGAAATAAGGAAATAGTTAATCTTTATGGAATAACATGTAATTTCAAGTACTTTGTTTAAGAAATTATTGTATATAGGGGTGTACATGATCGGGTTGGTTCGAGTTTTTCAAATATCAAACCAAACCATTTGTGTAAAAAAATTTAATTTATAAACCAAACCAAACTAATAAAATTCAAATTTTTTCGGGTTTTTCAAATAGCAAACCAAACCATTGTGTCGAATTTTTAAATTTATAAATCAAACCAAATTAATAAACCTCAGATTTTTTCAGATTTTTGGATTTTTCGGTAAAGTTTGCATACAAATATATAATTAACTTGTGTTCCAAATATTTCTTTAGTCCAATCAAAATTTCTTAAGAAAATAACACAAAATATGAGATGAGTACTGATGACACTAAAATATTTAATAAAAAATAATAATGAAATTATCATATAAAATAAATATTGCAAAGTCATAATGAAAATGATCATAATTTAAAAATACTAAATCATACTAAAATAAGTTTAATAAGTATTAGTTACATTACTAAATATTTAAGGAAAATTAAAATTAGATTATGTATTTTAATTGTCTAAACCAATGTAAAACTAAAGAACAAATATTCAATATTATTGTCATTCTTAGTGTTGAATTGATTTTCTTTTTTGCATTAGTATTAATTTGATTTTGATTTAAGTTTTATTATAATTATCAACATCTATGAACTATAATCTTTATTGAACCATTCCAAATTCTAAGTTTTAAACTTGAAATAATATATTAAAAGATAAAAACTATGAAATAGTATAAAAAATATTTTAAAATTATATCAAAGTAAATATTTTTATGTATTAAATAAAATTTTAAAATTACATATATAATGTCGGGTTGGTTTGGTCTCGGGTTGGTTTTTTTAGTTAAAACCAAACCAACCCAAATATAATCGGTTCTTTTTTTCCAATACCAAACCAAGTCAAACCAAACCACTAGTCGGGTTTTTTTTCGGTTTGACTCGATTTGCGGTTTGGTTCGGTTTTGTACACCCCTAATTGTATATGATTTATGAAGGGAATTTTTTTCATAGTTCGAGTTGTAATTGTTTTATGATTAAATTAAATTATATCGTATTTTCAATATTTCCAGAGGATTGTTTATTTCAATTGAATACAAGTTCTTTTTATTGAGAGTTTATATGTAGTTTTCATCTATTCTTCCAGCAATTGCCAATTTGTTCACTTACTATTAATAACAAAACCCTGCAATATAACAACCATCACATACTTCAAAAATAGGTAACTAAGGATTATATTTTTGATATATTACGCAAAAGAATCGATACAATTTGTCTAATCTATTATAATTTAAAAGAAGAAAAAAAAAACGATTTCTATTGTTTTAAACATATAATTCCTGGGAGATAAAAGAAATAAAGTGAATCAAGTAGTGAATCATTTTAATCAGATAAAAAGAAACTCGGAGATAAATGTTACACTACTTAAGATAAAATATCACAGATTTTTCATAAGCCCTTCAATATTTTAATCATTTAGTGATTGTTTAGGTGCATTTGATCTATATTGCAGAAGTTTTGAGCTCAAAGTATGAATTCTTTTAATTATATCAGAACTTCTAAAATATTTTCAGAAATTTTTAAAAATAATTTGTTTGACTCAATTATCTTTTTTGTAGGGTTCGATATTAGGGAATGAAGTAATATCTCATACAACACTTTTTTCCTAAGACTAGATCATACACAACACAAATTTGAATTAATATGAGTTAATAACCAAAAACATAAAATATGACATTAAAAACAATAGCTTCTAATTTTTCCTGTTTGTATCAATAAAACTAATCAAACCCAAAATATTGTCATTCTTGGTAATGAAAAGTATGTATGGTACTCGCAAGGGTAACAGAGGTCAGAGATTATTTCTTCTGCCAACACTTTTTCAGTTGATTTGTCACAACGGAGTTGCTCAAAGCAGCTTACATCTCAGGTATGATTTGCAAGAAATTGCACATGAGCAAATTTATCCGGTGTGCACCATGATGTGGATTATAAGTTGTGTTCAACAAGTACATATAATTAATCGACATCAAATAATGAACAATATTTGTTAAGCCTACACATATCTAAGCTTTTAAAAATTAATTTTATCAAATTTTCAATATACCAACCAAAAAAAAAAACAACATTCTTGCAAGTCAACAAATTATTGGATTAAAAATTTAAAAATAGGTGAGTCAAGCAAATGTGTATGAATTGTTTATGGCTTCCCATTATCTCAAAACCTTAGTGGAACAGCATTAACCAAACAACGGCAAAATCTTTGATATGTTTGGATTATTTAATTTTTAAATCATCATATCACCATCTTAGTTATGTTATATAAACTCCTAATTCCTCCATTCTAAAACACACAAGAAAAAGAAAAACAACCAAATATCTAGCCTTAGAATCCAATTCTTCTCAATGGGAAGCCAAATGAAGAAGCAATGGCTTCAATTTGCTTGTGCTTTGGCATTTTTCTTGATTGCCACATGCACTATGGCTTATTCACCTTATAATTCGTATGAATCATCAGATTCAACATATAATAAAGTACCAAACACAGTAGTCAAAAGTGAAGACTTCAAGGTACCCTCAGAGTCAGAAAAGGAATATGAGTCGTCATTTTTGCCAAAAAATGATTACAATAAGAAACCATCAGTTTCAGAAGATAACTATAAGAAAGTACCCATTGTTCCCGAACATGAATCATTCTTGCCAAAGAATGACTACTACAAGACGCCATCATTTTCAGAAGATAACTACAAGAAGGAGTCATATGTTCCAGAGGTACCCTCGATGACTAAACCAGAATATAAGGAGTCATTTTTGCCAAAATTTGACTACTTTAAGAAGCCATCATTTTCAAAAGACAGCTACAGGAAGACGTCATATGTTCCAGAGGTACCCTCGATGGCTAAACCAGAATATAAGGAGTCATTTTTTCCAAAATTTGACTACTTCAAGAAGCCATCAGTTTCAGAAGATAACTACAAGAAGTCGTCATATGTTCCAGAGGTACCCTCGATGGCTAAACCAGAATATAAGGAGTCATTTTTTCCAAAATTTGACTACTTCAAGAAGCCATTAGTTCCAAAAGATAACTACAAGAAGGCGTCATATGTTCCAGAGGTACCCACAGAGCTTAAACCGGAATACAAGGTACCATCTTTGCCAAAGAATGACTACTATAAGAAGCCATCGGTTCCAGAAGATAATTACAAAAAGGTATCATATGTTCCAAAGGTGCCCTCAGTGCCTAAAGAAGAGTACAAGGTACCTTCTTTTCCAAAGAATGATTACTACAAGAAGCCATCAGTTCCAGAAGATAACTACAATAAGGTACTATTTGTTCCAAAGGTGCCCTCAGTGACTAAAGAAGAATACAAGGTGCCTTCTTTCCAAAAAAATGATTACTACAAGAAGCCATCAGTTTCAGAAGAGAACTACAAAAAGGTTTCATATGTTCCAAAGGTTCCCTCAGTGCCTAAAGAAGAATACAAGGTACCTGCTTTGCCAAAGAATGATTACTACAAGAATCCATCAGTTCCAGAAGAAAACTACAAAAAGGTACCATTTGTTCCAAAGGTGCCCTCAGTGCAAAATGACTACTACAAGAAGCCATCGGTTTCAGAAGATAACTACAAAAAAGTATCATATGTTCCAAAGGTTCCCTCAGTGCCTAAAGAAGAATACAAGGTGCCTTCTTTGTCAAATAATGACTACTACAAGAAGCCATCACCTTCTCCATCACCACCACCTCCATATTATTAAATTTCCATATTTCATGTTCAACATGGATGTTTCATTTAAGTCCTTCTCCATCTCAACATATATAACTCATAGGGTTCTCATATTATGAGTTAGAAGGCATGATATCAAAATTTGTATTTATTTATTTTTCCTTTTCCTGCTCCGGTTTGTAATTGTTTTGTCATTTAAATTCTATATTTTGAACGAAAAAATTATTTCAATTGAATACAAGTTCTTTTTATTGAGAGTTTATGTAGTTTTCATCTATTCTTCCATCAATTGCCAATTTGTTCACTTACTATTAATAACAAAACTCTCGAACATAACAACATCAGATAATATTTCAAAATAGGTCACTAAGGATTATATTGGGTGAATTTTCTGATATAGTACTCAAAAGAATCGATACAATTCGTTTAATCTATTAGAACTGGAAAGAAGAAAAAAACGATCTCTATTGTTATAAACATACAATTCTTGGGAGAATAAGAAATAAAGCGAACCATTTCAATCAAAAACTCGACCATAAATATAACACTACTTAAGATAAATTGTCACAATTTTTTCATTAGCCCTTCAATATTTAATCATTTAGTTATTGTTTAGGTGCATTTGATCAATATTGCAGAAGTTCTTTGCTCAAAGTATGAAATTTATTAAAGCCAGAACTTCTAAAATATTTTGAGAGTTTTTTTTTTTTTTAAAAAAAATGTCAATCGACTAAATTATCTTTGTGGTAGGGTTCGATCCTAGGAATATTGAAGTAATATCTCATAGAGCACTCTTTTTTCTTAAAAATAGATCATACACTACGTAAATTTGAATTATTGGAGTTAATAACCAAAAACATTAAATATATGACAATAAAAACAATAGCTACTAATTTTCCCTGTTTGTATTAAGAACTAAACAAACCCAAAATATTGTCATTCTTGGTAATGAGAAGTATTCAGGCTACTCGCAAGGATAATAAAGGCCAGAGATCAATTTCTTGTGACTCACAACGTTCTTGCTAAAGCAACTTACATTTCATGTATGATTTGTAAGATATTGCACATAAGCGGATTTATTCAGTGTGCATCCAGAGAATAACAACTGCGAAATACTCCGATTTTTTTATATAAAAAAAGTAATTGTGGTGCCATGATGTGGATTATAAGTCGTGCACAACAAGTACATATAATTAATGGACACCAAATAATGAACAATATTTGTTAGGCCTACACATATCTAAACTTTTAAAAACTAATTTAATCAAATTTTCACTATACCAACAAAAAAAAAAAAAAAAACAAGAACAACATTCTTGGAAGTCAATAAAAAATTGGATTATAATTTTAAAAATAGGTGAGTCAAGCAAATGTGTATGAATTGCTCATGGCTTCCCATTATCTCAAAACCTTAGTGGAACAGCATTAACCAAAAAATGGCAAAATCTTTGATATGTTTGGATTATTTAATTTTGAAAGAATACAAAATCATCAAATCACCATCTTTGTTATGTTATATAAACTCCTAATTCCTCCATTCTAAAACACACAAGAAAAAGAAAAACAAAGAAATATCTAGCCTTCGAATCCAATTCTTCTGAATGGGAAGCCAAATGAAGAAGCAATGGCTTCAATTTGCCTGTGCTTTTATATTTTTCTTGATTGCCACATGCACTATGGCATATTCACCTTATAATTCTTATGAATAATCAGATTCAACATATAATAAAGTACCAAACACAATAGTCAAAAGTGAAAACTTCAAGGTACCTCAGAGTCAGCAAAGGAATATAAGTCGTCATTTTTGCCAAAAAATGATTACTACAAGAAGCCATTAGCTTTAGAAGATAACTATAAGAAAATACCCTTTGTTCCCGAACATGAATCACTTTTGCCAAAGAATGACTACTACAAGAAACCATCATTTTCAGAATATAACTACAAGAAGGAGTCATATGTTCCAGAGGTACCCTTGATGGCTAAACCAGAATATAAGGAGACATTTTTTCCAAAATTTGACTACTTCAAGAAGTCATCAGCTTCAGAAGATAACTACAAGAAGGCGTCATATGTTCCAGAGGTACCTACAAAGCCTAAACCGGAATACAAGGTACCATCCTTGCCAAAGAATGACTACTATAAGAAGCCATCAGTTCCAAAAGATAGCTACAAAAAGGTGTCATATGTTCCAAAGGTGCCCCCAATGCCTAAAGAAGAATACAAGGTGCCTTCTTTGACAAGGAATAATTACTACAAGAAGTCATCAGTTCCAAAAGATAACTACAAAAAGGTATCATTTGTTCCAAAGATGCCCTCAGTGCCTAAAGAAGAATACAAGGTGCCTTCTTTGCCAAGAAAAAATTACTACAAGAAGCCATCAGTTTTAGAAGATAGCTACAAAAAGGTGTCATATGTTCCCAAGGTTCCCTCAGTACCTAAAGAAGAATACAAGGTGCCTTCTTTGCCAAAGAATGACTACTACAAAAGCCATCACCTTCTCCATCACCACCACCTCCATATTATTAAATTTCCATCTTTCATGTTCAACATGCATATTTCATTGAAGTCCTTCTCGAGCTCAAACATATATAACCCATAGGGTTCTCAAGTTTATGAGTTAGAAGGCATGATATCAAAATTGTAATTCTTATTTATTTATTTTTCCTTTTCCTACTTAGGTTTGTAATTGTTTTGTCATTTAAATTCTATATTTGAATGTTAAGAAAAATATTTTTCAATTGAATACAAGTTCCTTTTATTGAAAGGTTATATAATTAGTATATAGATTCATCTGGATTAGTCGGACTCCAATGCATAAGAGGTGGCTCACAAAATATGTCAAAGTATGACAGGTACATTAAAGACATAATTTCATCATTGCTAATAAGAGGTGGCTCACAAAATATATCATAGTTGCACATCGAGAACTCAGAACATGCTACCTGCTAAACTAAAAGATCCTATGAGCTTGTCATTGAGCCAGTTCTATGTCTCATTTATTTTGAGACATCCATCCATTCTTAGCTACATGAAGGGCGTTGATTAATATAGCAGTGGGATAGTTGACAATGAAGTCTCATGATAAGGTTGAAGCGTTTTTGATGTATAGATAGCTCTCAAGATACCGATATTTTATATGAGGAGTTGTTTACTAACGAAACACATCAAAATTAAATTAAACACACCAAACTTGTTATTGAATTAAATTAAAGAGCTCCGATCCATCAATTATTGGAAGGATTATGAATTAATTTCAGCTACCAGCCAAGAAGCACCAACACCACCAAGCAAACCTCCAGACCTTACAATACCAATACTTCCTACATTGTTAAGAGTTCCACTAATACTAAGTCCACTGCCCAGACTTTACAAGGTGTCATATGTTCCAAAGGTGCCCTCAGTGCCTTATAGGCTGGTTGACACCTTGACTTTGATCATGATGGGCTAGTACGCTAGTATCTAATCGGCCTACTAGTTTTGCTGATATATTTTTTCAGGATGCTCACATTCAATATTTACTTTTGGATACAAGGAAGGGATCAATAAAAGCACAATGGATGGAAATCTAGTTCCTCTGGGTGCTCTTGTTAAATTTGTGCAAAAGGGTATTAAGTATCTTTGAATAGAAAACAAATTGGAGCAATGTAATGCAAATATTTTGATATTCTGATTTTTCGATCTCAAGTTTAGATCATGTTAGAACTAACCAATAACTAAGGAATGCAGTATGATACATATTTGGATGAAGACATCAAGTTTCTACAACCTTTGGATCTCATAACAGAGAATATATATGAGCTGCAAATTATAATAAAAGAGAGAAAGGAAAAACTGTAGAAAGATAAACTAGGTGGAAAGATAACGCGGGAGGGACCACAAATAAGAACCTGCAAGAGAAAGGGAGAAGGAGAAACAACATAAGGAAAAAGAGCGAGAATGGGATAGAGAAAGGTGTAAAAAGAACAATGAGAAAGAAAAGCGCAATGACAATGTAAATCCACGCGAGGACATCATAGATTAAAAACTGAGTGGACAAAAAGAGGCTGCCGGATATGAGGAAAATGGAAAAGCTGGAGGTAATAAATGAAGGAATTTTTTTAGCATGTAGCTGATACTTCTACACATCACAGTCTCAACCTCTTTGCCGAGTGAAATTCCTAGTTGTGATGTGATGGTTTTGTAGGACATACATATGAGGTTTGACCGTGTGAAAAATTAAAGTTGATTTTTTAGAGGTACAAAAAATATCTTAGTAATTTAGTAGAATTTTGTAGAGTAAATTATCTTTGATATTAATACTTAAGAAAAATCTAGATGTTCTAGATAATTACATATTTATAGTAAAGTATAGAAATATCTTGTTACATAGTTAGAAGATAAGGATATCTAGATATTTCTTGTAGATGTATCTAGAATAGTTTCTAGAAGCATCCCTATACAAGTATAAATATGGGTGACATTAGTCATTTGTAATTAACCCAAGAACAACTCAAATTCAAGAGCCTTCTTCCATAAACAAGTTCTCCTTTCTAGCTTCCTCTTTCTTAGTTGAATCTTCCGATCTTAGTTAACAATCTTAGGCTAGCAGAAGGATTCTCCGATTATACTTTTCTTCTGCTATTTTCTACAGGCCGTGTGTCTATAAAGTTTTTCTAGTCCGCCGTGATTTCTCAATAGGTGATTTGATATATATTTTCCCTTTTTCGTCTTCTATATTAACATTATAATTCTTTCTTGCTCCTAAACTCATGCCAGGTTTTTGTCTGTGCTTGGAGTCTAGAAGGGTCACTTCTTGCATCTGGATAAGCATTAGTACCATTTCTTTCTTTTGTTTCTCTCTTCTAGGAATCAACTCGTGTTCATATTTCATTCTTTTGTTTCTTATTCTCTTGTAATTTTATGACTTTGAAAATAATCATCACAAGCATCGGGACTCGAAATACTATGGCATTTTTCGTTTCACATTTCTGCTTTCTTATTCCCTTACAACAACAATCTGTTCAAGTTACTTCATTTTAAAAATTCTGTGTAAAATTTTTGTTGTCCTCTTTGAAAATTCTTTTGTCATGGTAATATTATGCACTAGATGTTCCTATGTACTCCACTTTCTTACGGAAATGTGATTGACAAATGAGATTTTCATTCTAGGAAAGCAAATTAGCTTAGGAAAACATGTGGTGCATAATATTACTATGTCTAAATTAAGCATTTCAAAGAGTATAGTTCTATAAAGAATTTTTAGGATGAAG